CCTGGAGGTCCAAACACCTTGCCAGTCGGTCCTCCGATAATCTCCTCAGGAACAGCAACGATGCTGCCCTTCTTGGAGTTGACCCAGCGGACAAAGGCGACATCCGGCTTCGATGAGCCGCCGCCGGGCGTGTCCTCGCCATTGGCTCCCTTGCCCTTGGTCTTGGGCGCCTGTTTCTTCAAAAGCTTGTTGATGGTTTCCATCTATTGTTTGGCAGTTAGCATGCGCCTGCAAATGGCCCAGTCATCCTGAAAACAATGATAATACTTGCCTTGACTTCTTCGTTGCGCTTGTCAGACAGGTTGCGTCGTCGACGTGCCATTTCTGCCCTTCTCATAGATAATTCTTCAGCAGTGAAGACCTTCTTTGCTTGAACCTCTGTTGTAATTCCATGTCAGTGTTCTGCTTTTCGTAAGGATGCCTCGCAAAACAGCGCATTCTTACCGTCTGAGAGTTTCATATACTGCTGAGGCTCGTCCTCGAAGCGAGCCCGCTGTCTCCTCGTCATCTTGGTCAAATCGGGTGTGCCCTCACGACTGCCCAGATCGCTGTCGAGCTCGCCTTCGGCATCCACTCCCACAGTCTCGTCTGCGACTTCAATCTCCTCTTCCTCCTCGCCCTCGGCGTCTTCTTCCTCGCCTTCGGCATCTTCCTCTTCGCCTTCGGCATCCTCTTCTTCGTCTTCCTCGTCATCGTCGTCCTCATCATCGTCGTCGCCGGCGCCTCCAACATCGATGCTCATGTTCATCGTGTTCTCAGGGTCACTGACTTCAATCTCGCTGAGCTCCTCCTCGTCATCGTCATCGTCCTCAATCACCCTCGCCGCTGCTGGTCGTCGAGGAGTAACCTTTCCAGCCTTGGGCAAGGAAATCTTGATGGTGGGGGCCGCAGGGGTGTCCATGTCGATGTCGCCATCGGCATCTTCCTCCTCGCCCTCGGCGTCGACTTCCATGTCGTCGTCATCGCCATCTGCGTCAGGCTCCTCCATTTCCTCGTCTTCGTCTTCCTCCTCCTCGTCGCTGTCGGATTCTACAACGTAGCTCTTCTTTGGGCCACGGTTGCGTCTGCCGGCAACGACCTCGCTGTTGACCGAAATGCTGTTTCCCGTCGAGTTCCGCCCCCTGCTGGTGGCCTCGCGAAGCTTGTTCGCGGGTACCTTGACAGTGAGGTTCAGGTGCTCACTTCCTGGTGACGAGGGCGGGCCGCGGGACACGCCCGAGGTCCGGCCATCTGAGCGGCGAGCACGGGTAGACATGCTGCTTGTTCGCTCGCTATCGGCCCAGTCAGTAATTTGTTCTTGCGCCTTCTTGGCCGCCGAGCGGCGCGGTCGCGAAGCCATGTCTGGAAATATGCGTATATGCGAAGGCTGATCTGTCTCGTGGGTTGTCTTGGCAGAAGAACAATGACGCGCGAAGGGGGTTTACGCCACGTATGAGCGGTTTATGTACGGAATGAAGATGGGATATCTCGGGGTGAAAAGGTTTAGGGTGGTTTCGGGATGATGGTGGGGGAGTTTTTATCCAAGATTGGACGCGGGAGGTTGAATTAAGGTAAGCTCGGGGGGCCGGTCCAGACAAGGAAGGGGAAGGGGAAAGGCGAGGTGGCACTGCTAGGGAATCTGATCCCTTGATACGGGAGATGAGGTAAGGCAGTCAATGTAGTTGGCCGAGATGCAACTTTAGCCCAGGTAGGTTTCAACGCCTCCTTTTCTTAATGAATCGCACACGCACGCGCGGGGCGCCTTTTTCGGTTTCTTCTTAAACCACCCGGGGACTCTCGAGTCTCGACACGGCCACTTTCCCAACAAGAACTATGTCGTGGAACCAAATCGGATTCGAGGAGTGTGCACAACCCCGGCCGATAGAGTCTCTCTTTCTTCTCGAGATGTTGGTTTGCGTATTGATGTCGTTGCCGCTTGCCTCACTTGACTTGGCACAGCAATCCGGCGATGTTGATATAGTGATTTGAAGGAGGAGAGACAAGTACGAGATGAAGTTTGATGGAGGTGGAGCGTGGAGATGTGACGGAGTGACAAGGAAAAAGCTAAACGGAAGAGGTCGCATCTGCGATGGGATTTTGAGCTTACCGATTGATTGATACCTTACGGAGGATAGACGACGCTTAGCCGCAGCAAGCAAGATGGGCGCGCGCAAACAGGCGGACGGCAAGTGGGATGGATAATCGCCTTTTTGGTGGCCTATCGCCCTCACAACTGGATACCAGGCACAGAACAACCTTGCTGGGACGGTTTTGGTGGCTGTGGCCAAGCCAAGCCGCAGAAGGCAGAAAAAAAAAGTGAACCCCCTGGAAAATGGGAACTGAGACTTTTGGGATCGATTGGATCTTGTCGGCTCCTGCGCGCGTGCTGCAGCTGTCGCTTCTTCTCTTTTCTTTGCCCTCCTGCGTTTCTTTCGTGTGACGCTTGGTTTCTCAACCCCTGGCGCGTGAGCTTTCGTTCCTGTCCCCCTTTACTTAGCGAGTCCACTCCCCAATTGTCTCCTGCTCATCTGGTACACAGTGACATGAGCAATTGGCCCGGTGCGAGCTTACCTTAATCCCTGGTTGCGCGGCGAGGTATGTCGGTGAAGGATGGCCCAGTTGAAGAGACGGTTGGAGATCGTCGGTGACCACGCGGCAGAGCGAATCGGATGATCCCGATTGAGAGCCTTTGTTGGCTTGAAACAGGAGTGAACTCGGTACAGAGTACACCTTGAGGGTGGTTTTCGAGGCGGGCGAGAGATGGATAACGATTGCTATAGTTGAGACGGATTCTCAATGAGCATTGCTTGTGCTGGTCCGGTTCCTACTCACCTTGAGTTCAGCCTTTCACTAGAGCACTGAAGTCCGCTGAAGCGCGCCGGATGTCGAAAACGGAAGCCCCGTTTTTGGGGTGGTCGCCATGGGCACCGTGCATTGAGCCCAGCACCGTGTAGAACTGAAGGGCTTCTAGGTCAGCGAATGGCCGTTACGTGCTGGAACAGTGACCCCCGTAAAGAACGTCCAGCCTCTTCCGTTTCCCGCTTCCCCAGCCGAGGCATGTGGTCATAGGTGCCGAACCGCCGACCCCATCAACAACCCGCCCTCCGGACCAGCGCCCGGCTCATTGGCGATTCGACATTGCGCCAATCTCGACAGCTCTCACAGACACAACGTTCCAAACTTTCTACTGCAACAGGGCGCAATCTCTTTTCACTAACCATGAGCGACTCCGACGACAGCGGTAGCACGCCCGGCATCCCGTCATGGCAGCGCGGCCAAAAGAAAGAACCCGAACTCGAGCCGGAGACCACCATCTCACAGGATGCGAAGCAGGACGATGTCTCCTCCCGCGAAGACAGCCTCGAAGTCGCCCGCAAGTTCCTGCAGGATGACGAGATCAAGGACGCGCCGAGGGAAGCAAAGGAGTCGTTCCTTAAGACCAAAGGCATCTCGCCAGAGGATATAGAGCAGTTGTTGGGTAGCTCGGCATCTGAGCCGGCGCAAGACGTATGCTTCCCAGCTTCACTTTTGCCTCGTTTCGCGGATATCTCATGACTGACAACACGAATTGCAGACCACTCAAACAGAACAGTTACCGCCAAGCTCAAGTCAAGTAACAACAGCATCACCAGCACCAGCACACACAACACCATCACAGACACCTTCACCCTCACCCTCACCCTCACCATCACCACCGCAAAACGAAATCTCCTTCCCCCGCCAAACAGACCAACCTCCCGTGGTAACCTACCCCGAATTCCTCACAAAACCGGCCCGCCCCCCGCCGCTCGTCACCGCAAACGGCATCCTCAACACCCTCTACGCCTTCGCCGGCATCTCCACCCTCCTCTACGGCACGAGCAAGTACCTCGTCCAGCCCATGGTCGAGAACCTCACCGAAGCCCGCTACGACCTCCACGAGACAACCTCCCAGAACCTCGCAAAGATAATCGAGAAGCTCGAGGGCACCGTCTCCGAAATCCCCGCCCCCAAGAAGTCCGCCGCGGCAGGAGCAGCAGATGGCGCAAACAAGGACGCAGCAGACGACGACGCGATCAGCGCCGACGACCCGACCGAAATGTTCCACCGCGACATCGGCACGCAGACCTCGATCCCTTCCACGCCCTCCCTGACAACGTGGGGGGAGACCAAGGGCAGCGACAGCGACAAGGACAAGTCCGCGACGGACAGACAGGCCGACAAGCTGACGTGGTTCAAGAACCAGGCCGCCTGGCTCAAGACCACGGTCGTCGCCGACGCCGACGACGTGGCGGACCTCAAGTCCAAGATGGACGTGCTCAAGGACGACCTCGTGCAGCTGGCGTACCCGAGCCCGTCCGACTACGCCGGGAGCAGCTACTCGCTGTACGGCGGCCCGCGCAAGAACGAGCCCGAGGACGAGATCAAGAAGGCGCGAGATAATATTCGGAGGGTCAAGGGGGTGTTGCTCAGCACGAGGAACTTCCCTGCTTCCGCGAGGTGATTTATCCTTGCCTTGGTGGATAAATGTACCTCTTTGTCAAAGATGCGTTGGGGACACTGGACCGGGGCGGGATTGGTTATGTATGAGGGTATGGAAATCTGTATCATATCAGTGAAAGGCTAATAATGGAACTGAGCGACTTTATCTACTATTGCTGGACACCGCGCTGGAAATTGGTCAATATGGCGGGCGGTGTATGCTGTCAGCACGCTTATACCTGAAGGAAGCGAAAACAGCTTCACATGCCTACTTCGCTCGCAGCATACATATAGTGACCAAGTCAAGTTGACATCTTCAAAAAGGGGTTGTGATTTTTTCAGTCCCCTATCTCATCCATGCCATACGCTTTCTTGATATCTAACGTATCCATCCCGTATCATGCCTGCTAGAATGCAATAATCACATACAGTCCCTCAGGTCCGGAGTTGCTTTGCCTCTGGTATCTGGTCATGATACCCCGGAATGCGACCCCTCTGATTCGCCATCGTACGGCTGAATCCGCCCGCACGAGACTACTCCTTTTCTTCCGATTTTCTTTTCACTTTTTGCTGCTCTCTTGCGACTCGACCTTGCTCTTCTCAGTTGGCAACCTGAGGACTTCAAATACCCGCTGCCAAGTAGCAACGTTGAGGTGCTCGAAATGCCGGTTCTCGGCAACCTGCTGCTGGTACCACTCGGTGGTCGGTCTGAACGTGTAAGGCCATGCGGGACGAGGATTCTGTCTGTCGATATTCATCACCCAGGTGTAGAACAAATTCTCACATCTGCTCTGTCCTGTCGGATTCATGGCTCTGGGCGGGTAAAAGATGATCTTGCTCTCGCCGCCCTGATTTCGATGACCGCCAATCATATCAATATCCATTGAAGAGTCTGTGGCATGAAGCCCGTGCCCAATGGGCGCGTCGCCGGGACAAATCTTGCGGAAACCCCTGCGCAGTAATAAAGTATCAACCGCTGGAAGATATTGCTTGCAGTCCGACATCATCACGTCCAAGTTATGGAACGTGACGTCGACTGGCAAGGTATACTCCGAAGGCTCTGTTTCGAACCCACCATACCAGACCTCTAGCAGAGGAAGGCCCCGATGTTTGTCTTCAGATCGCTCCCGTACCATCTGTATAAGGTGCTGCTGTGCCTGCAAGAGTTGAGACTCGTAGACCTCGTTCGCTGTGGAACATCGATCCTTGGCCGCGGTGTCCCAAATAAAAAGCTCGGTTCCTTTCCAAGCCGCATGAGGCTCACGAACCCGCCAAATCGCAAGCCAGGGATGGCGCGGTGGTGGTTTGCTTGGATGATCATCTTCAGGAGTGTAAAAAACCGCGAAGTAGGTATTGAATGTCGGCGGCAGACGATAGGGTGCTGAAGGTTGCTTGAAACGCTCCTGGTAGGATGAGAAGAACGGCCAGGGCCACTCCATCCACTTGTCGAAAGTTGAAAAGTCGCGATGGAAGTCTCCATAAGAGTCAGCTGTATTAGCAATGTCTTCGTAATAGGAGACAGCAAAGCCAAAGAGCTTCCCAAATGGACACAATTTAGGACGTTCGTTGCGAGTAGCGATTGCCTTCAACTTGCTCAGGAAGTGGTGGCCAGACAAGCCTCCAAGAAGCTTGCTACCTCCACTTTGTGGTCCAAGATTATTGTCGGAACCTGACATGTTCTGACGCGGGCTAGGAAAATCGGGATTTGGTTCGGCTCCTCGATCGCGCCCAACCCCAGGCGGATATATGGGAATGTCGCCGTCTTTGATCAGATGGCTATTGTCGGAAGTGCCATCTGTTCCTAGAACGTGGAACTTGCGGAACTGGTCGAAGCGAGTTTGGGACCAACAGCCGAACCAATTCACCAAGCTTTGCTCGTCGTTGGCATCAATAGATCCATCAGCAAAGACAATGGCCTCGACCTGCTCATCCGGCACAATGGTTGTGTCTATGGCCGACTGGAGGCCTTCCACTATCGCCCATGTCTCGAATCGAGCTGTGCAATCTTCTTTGCTCAATCCTGCAATTCGTGCTATATCCTCGCGCTTCGACGTTGACCACTGGCGTGTTAGGTCACCATCTGCCATCAAGTCGTCTCGGCGGGCGGATCGCTCATGCGCAAGATCCCGCAAATACTCCCGTAAGCTCGCCGCCGCCACGATCTTTTGGTTATTATTAGGCTTTTGATAGGTCCTATTGTACCACTGAAAGAGTTGGAAGGCACGGCGTGGTTCAGAGACCAGAAAACTTGGCGTAACTAAAATTGCGTTACCGTGGGGGAAAAATCTCGTCAACTCGAATGTGCCCAGCTTTGGCATCTCGTTGTGCATGGACCGAATAGATGGGTACGCGGGAGACAGCTGGAGTGACTCCCCAATGCACCAAAAGACGTAAGTTGCACTGCTCTTATGCAAAAGCAGCTTGAGCAAACCAGGGAACTGTCGGAGCGAATCGGCGGCTGCCTCATGAACAATGATAACTCCTTGCGTAACAATCTTCGGGTTGGTAAAGGCGGCCCAGTCGCCACCCGTTTTAGTTGAGAATATCCTACATTCGGGATTCTCTGAGCGAAGCCACTCGCTCATAGCCTCGAGTAACAGCACCCTAGATGGAGGAAACGCCAGGTAGAAATTGTGGCGTACATTTCGAATGCCGGGGGGCAGAATCATATGGTAGTCGAGGCGTAAGAGATCGCGGAAGATGGCAATTCGCGAAGCTATCTTTGAAGCGTTGATCTGTCTGATTGGTAAAGGCTTCTTAACAGCCGGCTGGGGCTTGAAGATGACATATTTCAGATAGACGTTTGCCGGGCTGTTGGCTTCGACTTCAGGCATTGTTTGCTTCCAATCTTCACACCCAGCTGGGTAAATGACAATGAGAAAGTCTTCATAGAAGCACGCAACCCCAAACGCCCCTGATCGGAGCCGTTCTGCTGCTCTCTCCACAGCAACTTGATCGTTGTTTGACTTGGGCCTGACGCTTCCATTTGCGAGTACCCTTTCAATAACAATTGCCCTTTGAGAGGCAAAAGTTCTGGCTGTGAAATTTCTGGCGAAATGCAGCAGTTTCTCGTCAACAAATTGAGAATGCCAAGCGTCAGAGTCGGCTCTAACATTATCAAATGTCATTTCAATGTCCTTGCTTCCCGGAGGACCTAAAACGACAGTTTTGTCGTGGTTTTGGCCTGTGCTTCTCGACTTGTAGTCTGTTATTGATAACTTGCGAAGGATAGAATGAGGCTTAGCAGGCGGTTGAGTAGACTGTGACGGATCTGAAGGCATCGGGGGCGACTTGAGTCTTTTTGGCCGAGCAGTCGGGTAGTCCACGTCCATCTCTTCTGGCTCATCGGCAAGTGGAACGTCTGCAAACTGAACGGACTTCCTTTTCTTGGTCGTTGGCTGAATAGTCTGGGGCTGACCGAGATTTTGAGGGTGTGACACCCCCGCCCTCTCCGACGCTGTCATACTGGACTCACTGGCTGACCTCGTCGAGAGATCATCGACTGAACGCTTCAGTACAGACCGAGGGATGCTAGCGGTGGTATTGGTACTCGGATTGATGTTTGTACCGGTAGTGGTTCCAGGAGGCGGCCCGCGGCTGATGCTGAATAGCTTCGTTGGGACTGCCGCGGGAGCCATGTCCGCTTTCTCACGACCTTGTAACTCAGCTTTTCTCTTGAGTCGGTGATTTGAGAAAAGACGAGCATCCTTGTTAGGATCGGCCACGTTCTGTACGAGTTGACGGCGCTGCTTTGATTGCTTGCCGGCCGCGAAGACATTGATGCCCGTTCCGGTGTTCTGTGATCTAACCATTGTCCTAGAGCTCACAGCAGTCTTTTTGGCCCTGTGAGTGGTCCGCGCAGTTGCTGTCGCGCTATTCGGCAACCGGCTGGTTGTCGCATTGTTGACCACCCTGCCCGGCAGAGGCTTCTTCTTTGCTGTTCCTTGATATTCAGTCGCCGCTGCCAGCGCCGAAGGTGGCTGTGAGCGTGGCTGAGGGCTAGAGCTGGATTGTGCCTTTCTTGTTGGTGATTTTGGTTTCTCTGTCGCTGAAGCCCGTTTCTGAAGGATTGGTGCCTTTGCGACCTCCTGCTTAGGGGCGATCTTGGAGGGTTGAGTATCAGAATAAAACGCATCTTCGTTTCGCTCCACAGCCTTTGGAGGGGGGAATACGGCGTTGTAATCATCCTCCCCAACGTCTTCGTCGCTGAGATAATAATCCGCTTTGGTTTCGCCCTCCCATAGCCTAGGCTGGATACCTCGTTTTTTCCGTTCAACGTTGCGTTGGTGATGCCGCTGGTATTTGTCCTCTTGACGCTTGACCACGCTTTCTTGCCAGGCGACAATGTCGAACGGCTTCTCCTCCCCACAAGCTTGCTTTGCTTGAGTGTCTTTCCATTCCCCAAGTAGCTCATCCGTCACGTTTTCTTCAGGCTCCCATGTGGCCTCTTCAATGGGGTAACCAGTCCACTCTACCAGAAATTTGTCTCTCCCACCTTCGCGACACTGAGCGCGGATACCCTCTACCAGCCATTCCTCATCGGAATCGTGTTCGGACGCGAGGGTGGAGTTGATGGAGATGTTGTCATCGTCAGGTTGCTTATCATCGGCGACGAAAAGCCCGGAAGCATCCATGGCACGCTTATACTCTGGAAAGCATATCCAGAATGCACGCATGAAGGAATACGCTGTGGTCGTATGTGTGACCTGTTGCCACAGGTTTTCGACGCACCAAAGGTCGATACACTCAGATGACGATGTGACTCTTGATACGCGAGGTAGCAGGCCTCAGTGAATGCAACCGCACGTTGTGTGGGAGCTTGAAGAAGAACCTCTAATACTCGAAGCGCAGAGCTGATCAGGCGAGGACCGAAATTGGTTGATGAGGCAAAGAGGATGGAGCTCTTGTTCATGAACTTTAATGTAGTTATGTGCACTGATCAAAGGTAAGCGATGAGGTTATTCGGGCAAGGTAATGAGGACTAACCGGCGGGACAGAATGCGTCCCTACTCGTCAGGTACCAAAGGGCAATCAATACATTGAAAATTGAGAGGGGCGGGAGATGTGGAATTTTGTACAGAGTAAAACCAGGTATTTATGGGATTGCTGGCGTGAAATTGGGCGCGAAAAGTAACGATTCAATATCGAGGATGCACCGGAGCGGTAGGAGAGCGTTTACATGCATGTCAGGGCGCCATGGAACAGTGTCCGTGCAGCATTTCAGGGAAGGTTCCACGGCCCACGGTGCCTTCAGTGTTCACAGGTCTGCTACCATGGAAGAAGGTAAGGAAGGTACGGGTACCTTATTCTAATTGGACCTGCCTTTCCAACGATAGCGGAAGGCAGCGGGTAACATCTTGGCGTGCAGAGAGCAGCGTCCTGCAAGCACTCGGATAAGAAGCAACTTTCCACCGACGACCTCTTGAACGTTACTGAACGTACGAGATGGAAACATACCTACATCGTACTGCTACGTAAGGCAGTTACTCAAGGGATCTGATCAGATCCTTTTCAGAGAGTCGGCACTTGTAAAGAAAACTTTCTACGGATACTCTGATCAACTAGGGAGTTGGTTGGATACGGTAAGTGTGCACACGCAGACAGGAGCTTCCTTTGCCTGTGTTGACGATCTAAAGATGATGACCTCAACTGGCAAGGAAATTGTTCAAAACCTAGGTACACCTCACTGAATCTCGACAAATTGTAGAATCTGCCTGTGATTACGGACCTCAGCGGTAAACAAAGCTCAGCTTACCTTATGGAAGGCTCAATCTGGAAGTTTGTGTCATGCATGTGGCGTTGAAGATTGAGTGCTGTTGCTTGGGGGCAGTGCGTGTAAATGGACTACGTCAGCTTCTTTGGTACTTCAGTAGAGATCAAGCTGTGTGTGACACTCGGGGCACATGGCGAGCTGGGTCAGAAGAAGCGACCTGAGCCATGCTGAGGTTGTCCTCTCTGAACACCGCAGCCTGGGCACACGTGATGCTTGAGGTGAAACGCGACACTTCCGGCTACCGACGGCGGGATCCCGTTCTGGATCCTCGCACACTGCAGTCAACTGCAGACCTCTCCATGTCCTGTCAATCTTCGAGGCAAAGAAGGGAGACGCCGATGTGACGAACGTGGTTGGTGCATGCCCGGCGGTGGTGTGGCTCAGCGGGTTCAGCACATCCGGGAACGTGGAGCATATCTCCCCCTTCGACTTTGATGTGCCCGGGCAGGGAATGGGTAGCTATTGAAATCATGGAAGCAAAGGCATTGATCAATCTTTGGTACTTTCCTGGCCAGCGTGTCGTCTATCTATCTGCATTCTTCCCAAAGTACGTCTTTGACCTTTTTGCATACTATGGATGTTCCAGTTACTTGACAACCCCACCAGTTGAATGATCTGGCGGCAGGGAGATGCCGAATTGCTGGTTTCTAAAAACACCACGAATGGCTTTCTGATTCCAACTGTACCTTGAAAAACAAACACCCCCCTTTTCTTTCACAGAAATAAACATATCTATCACTCCTCTTTTTAAAATGTTTACCTCTTGCTCGTCTACTCAATAGTGCAAAAAGCACGGTAGTCTCTCATGCGTATCAAACGTTAGCAGAGCTCTGAGGTATATCATTAACTTGCACCACGAGCCAAAGTACCTTGGCTGTCGAGGTACTTCCTGTACCTGGATACTCCCAATCTTCCAGCACCCAGGACCCGACAAGCCCCCTTTGCAGCTGGCTTGCGACGGAATACAACCCCCAGTAGTACCCTTACCTCACTTAGGTACGCCCGACTTCCCCTTTCCCAGTGGCTGTTTGCTCTCTGGGTACCTTACCTAAAGTGCCTACCTCCCTCCAGGCAAAGCGAGTTTCTGTGGCCTAGAACTGCCCGGGTGCCGACACCACCACCTCACCTCAATCTTTGCTGCCTCACCCACCACCCTATGCTGCCTTGACCTGCACTGTCCACCACCTCTCTCAGTCTGGTTCAGTTCCAGACCCTTACACCTTGCCTCGCCTCAACTCAACTGCTTTATCTCTCGGGGCCGCGCACCACCTCCATCGAGCCGCAGTATCCTCGCTTCGCAACACCAACGACCCTACAACTTCCTAGACACCTGTCCATCGCATTTGCAACACAATCCGACATCATGGCCAACGACGAATATGACGTGAGTCCTCCCATCTCCCATCTTCCAGACCCCTTGACCCTACTGCCGCCCCTCTCCCTCTCCCTCTCCAACTGCTCTCCCAAGCCTCCCCCTCCTTGCGCTAACTCGAAGCCTCCGACAGTTCCTCTTCAAAGGTGCGCCAACGACCGATCCGACCTGGCGACGTTATCGCATAGTGGCCACAGGGCTTCTGTGAGGGCCAGCTGACATTTTCATCTTCTAGTGGTGTTGATCGGAGACTCGGGCGTCGGAAAGTCCAACCTTCTCAGTCGATTCACCCGCAATGAGTTCAACCTGGACTCCAAGTCGACAATTGGTGTCGAGTTCGCCACTAGATCCATTCAAGTCGACTCCAAGACGATCAAGGCACAGATTTGGGATACCGCCGGCCAGGAACGCTACCGTGCCATCACTTCGGCCTACTACAGAGGAGCTGTCGGTGCCCTCCTCGTCTACGACATCAGCAAACACCAGACATACGAGAACGTCACCCGGTGGTTGAAGGAACTGCGAGACCATGCCGATGCCAACATCGTCATCATGCTTGTCGGAAACAAGAGCGATTTGCGCCACCTGCGAGCAGTGCCTACAGAGGAGGCAAAGGCTTTCGCCAGTACGTTGCGGTGAAGGCGTCAGGGGGAAGTGCCGTAGACCCTGAGTTCGCTAACCGGTGCTCTAGGCGAGAACCACCTCTCATTCATTGAGACGTCTGCCCTCGATGCCAGCAACGTCGAGCTTGCATTCCAGAACATCTTGACCGGTGCGTCTACTCCCGTATTTTGCAACTCGCATACATAATCAGGGGTATCTGGTGACAGTCAAGTGCTAACGTGATCCGTCTCGCTCGCAGAGATCTACCGCATCGTATCCAGCAAGGCCCTCGACTCGGGCGACGGACCCCAAGCCTCGATCGGAGCCGGCGCCGGCATTTCGCTCAGCACACCTGCGGACAACAGTGCAGAGAAGAGCGGCAAGTGCTGTTAAGCGAATCCCCTTCTGCGAAACTGTTTCACGGCCTTTTGGGAGGGCTGCTACGGTCGATATCATGGCATGTCACACACATGCCCCGGAATCTGTACGCCACTTGGTCAAGGAGGGGCTGCTGCATCGAGGAATGACTAGGAATCCAATGAGTCTTTTTTATGATTTCCGAAGGGACGGAGTATAGTCTCGGCCTTTCTTTTGTTCTCCTTTATACGGCTCAGTGCGGCTTGTCTGGGATTTGACGTTTCTGACGATCGCTCTGACATGCTTACGTAGTTGAATGAATCCATCTTAATGCCTTGAGGGAGCGTCTTCTAGGTGGAATTTGGTGATGTGCGAAGCATTTTGTGGCTGCTCCATCCAACGACCTGTCCTCGCCATATAACATGCACACCGTAGACAAGATACCCCTTAGTGAGGATGTCCGTAATGTGCGATGGTACCTCGAATCAACGGGTCGCATCTTTGGCCGCCTTCAACCTGATCAGGAAGTGTTCGTGAGTCCTGACGTACCCTTTCAGATGCACCAATACAGTAGGTAATTACTACCTCAGGTCTTTTGCCGTCATGACAGGTGTTCCTCTGAGCTCAGAGTGGCTTCTGCCCCTGGCCCAGCTCAATACCTTAGTGGTCAAACCAGCCATGTGTTTACATTGAAGTACCGCATTCCCAAATTTCGGGGTCTTTCTCAAGCCATGTCCTGGCATCACACTGGTCAGGATGTCTCGAAGCGCTCCAGCGAGGTGAAATTGAGGTGGGCATGCAAGCTTGCTGCGATCCACAAAGTTTCTTTCCCCCCAGCCCGCGCTAGGTACTCATAGGTGCTGCGGTGCCCATCCCCTCACGCCTGGCCCTGCCCCTCGAGTCCCCCTCGCTCTTCAGCTGGGTTAGCCCGCGCATGAGTTACTGTCCCCCCCTTCTGTGGCACACTCTGACACGGTCTGGGCGACAGGGCAGCGGAGGGAACGAATGCGCCGGAGTTAGGTACGTACCTCCCTTACTCATTAAAAAGGTTCGAGGTGCACTGGCACCACAGGGAACCTCTTAAGTGGGCATGTGCCCCGCTACACCGGGTCACCGCCTGGCCGATAAGCTCTCTTATCAGGCGTCCCGTCTGTAGCGGAAAGAAAAAAATTTGGGCTGGTCGCAAACCATCGGCTTCTGTTTCCTGCAGGTGGGCTGCGATATCTTCTTCGCGTCAAACATCAATCTTCGACGTCGCCAACACACCCCACACCACCTTCGTGACTCGATAAGATGGCTTCCGTATACAAGTCATTGTCCAAGAAGGCCGACAAGCCTGAGGCGCCGACCAATGGCGTCAAGAAGGTGCGCCAGAAGAGGCGCGCTCTGGTTCTTTCAAGCAGAGGCGTCACTTACAGGTGAAGCTCCGCCAATAGATCTCCATGTGCCATGGCAGTCACGCTGACCTTTGACCTCGACAGACACCGACACCTGATGACCGATATTCACTCGATGATGCCCCACGGAAAGTTGGACAGCAAGGTCCGTACTATCCCCGCCATTGCTGGCTGTCCTCATCGACAATTCTCGATCCTGACAAACCGCTCTAGTTCGATACCAAGTCAAAACTCCACGTCCTCAACGAACTCGCCGAGCTCAACTCGACACCTCAGATTTGCTACCTGGAGGCCAGGAAGCACCAGGACTTGTACATGTGGTTGGCAAACGTGAGTGTTTCCCACTACGATAGTTGATGTCGAAGATGGTGGGCATTACTGACATTGACAAGGCACCGAACGGCCCCAGTGTGCGTCTACACATCCAGAATATCATGACCATGGAGGAGTTGCGATTCCCGGGTAACTGTCTTAAGGGCAGCCGTCCTATACTGTCCTTTGACGCCGCATTCGACACCGAGCCTCATCTTCAAGTCATCAAGAACTTGATGACAATGGTGTTCGGTGTTCCAGAGGGAGCGAGAAAGTCCAAGCCTTTCGTGGACCACGTGATGGGAATTAGCTGGGTTGACGAGAAGATCTGGATCCGCTGTAAGTCCGACTACTACTTTACCAACCGCATTTACGTACTCAAGACTGACACTGCGACAATCAGACTTCGAGATCAAGGAGGTCGATGCCGAGACGGAGGAGGAAACTGGAAAGTCAGTCCTCAGAGGAGGCAAGACAGACGTCGCCCTGGTGGAGATTGGTCCGCGGTGGACGGCAACCCCGATTGTCATACTCGAAGGCAGCATGTGTGGAAGCAAGATCTGGGAGAGCCGAAGCTTCGTCTCCCCGAACCAGATTCGTGCGGACCTGAGGAAGAAGAAGTCTACTCGCCACGTCTCGCGGACGGAGCAGGAGGTAGAGCGGGCGGCAAAGAGAGGCGAGCTTGGCCTCAGAAGCAAGGGTGGAAAGAGCGCGGCGAAGGACGAGCTGGATACCAAGGCACTGTTTGCGTGATAATGAGATTCCATGCTGTTCGGGCATTTTTGAGTTTATTGACTGGCAAAGGGCCAATTTTTTTCTTCTCTTTTTGCTCAAGAATTTTGAAATGCCGAGGAACTCTGGAGTACAAGAAGAAGACAGAGAAGCATGAGATACGCCAGGTGAAAGATACGGTATATACCTGGCATCATTCATTCATTCATAGGTGCGAGCAGGCGATGCGAAGCTTTTGATAGCAAAATACGTACTCCCACCGTCGGCTCCAACATCCTCTCAATGATTGGCTAATGCGGCGCAAGCACCCTAGCCACAATCACGAGCGATACGGTACCCCTGACGCCAACTCCCCGGGGAAGGAACCCACTGGAGGTAAGGTAGGGAGACAACTTCCGTCATATTGGGCCGGAAACTCGTGGTACCTGTGCGGCTTGACCTCCTGAGCTTGAGCAACATTAGGTCAGCAATCGGGACCTTGGTGCATGTCCTCTGCGTCACCGTCGCGTCTACCCTTTCACTTGACCTCGATTCCCCCTTCGCGTTGAGGTTTCCCTTCCTGCAGCACTGCTTCAGCAACTCAGCACTGCGTTTTGTGTGAGCAAGCATGGCCAACCGGGACATCTGCCAGCCCATTTCGACCAATATCGCGTCTTCTGTGCAAATAATGCCGACCTACATCATCGCCCTTATTGATAGCCCCAACGTCGGGGTTATCAGGAAGTAAACCCATTGATCCGATACCTCACCGGTGATTTCATTCATCCGTGAGGCCAGACGAGACGAATCAGTCTCCGAAATACACGCACATTTATTGTGACTGGATTCTTATCCGGTGATAATTTGTTGAAGCGCACGTCAGAGCTTCCCTTCAGCATCAAAGCTAGACCAAGGGCTCTAGCTCATTCTGTCCGTCCTTGATCAGCAGGCAAGCATCAAAAGACGCCAGCGAATTCATTGTCACGAGGTTCACTAAAAGGAGCTGCCTGGAAACAACATGCTGCAATACACCAGTGAGTCGCGCGTTTGTCAACACTGTTGTTTTTGGGATGAAGCCTCTAAGAAGTCCATAGATTCAACTCGTACTATCTTTGCTGCCGAAGGCGTTCCGTTGCTTCTCTGACTTGTTCATCTGAATCATCGTCAATTTGAATCACCATCAGACTAAACTACAGTCAGACTGCCCTCTCACCACACACATCCCCCAGCCCGAAACCTGACTCTGCATTGCTCTATCGGATCAACCTCTTCCTTATACTTGATCAACTTTCAGACCACGATCGCCTTCATTACACATAGACCGCTATAGACAACCGTTGATTGCTTTCAAGATGTCTTCAACTTACTCATCACTATTTGTGGGCCAACAGCTGCAATCAGACCTGGCGGATGGCGATCTTGGCAAATTGGACGGCCTCGAAGGGCTTCCCCTTGAGATTATTTTCGATATTTACCATCAACTCGATGTCCGGAGCATACTCTCCCTGGCTCAGGTCAACACTCTTTTCCATGGACTCCTGACAAGAAATAAGGCGGCAATTTTGCTACCAGTCCTTCAGCGAGAGTTCAGCCCCTTGCCCGAGCTTCTCCAAGTCTTCACGGCTTCGGACCAAGACATGAGCCAGTATGGAGATACCTTTCAGCCGCGACGAGTAGTTTTCAGAAGATTTCCGGGCGACATGACGGGCGTCACCTTATCCCGTGGCGGTGTTCAGCACAATACAGGGGCTTTGGACGGCGACAAACCACCAAGAACTACTTTGCCGTCACCTCGATCGGTCACGCTTGTTGAACGAGACTTGAGGCCCTTGCTGAAGTATTGCTTGGTGACACGACAATGGGAGGAATTATTCCCTCAACTCCACTGGTTTGCGACACCTGAGGACTGCCGTCAACTTAACGAATTAGAGAAGTTCAAGCTTCGCCGTGCTCTTTATCGTTGGTGGCTCTACGCCTTTTACTTTCACGGTGAACTTCTTCGTCCTCGGAGCAGTCAGCCGGAGCCGTTCGTCAACGATGTCCGAACCAGTCACATGAGACTTCATTCAACTCGCGAACTGATCGAGATGAGAGATCTTTTTTTTTCGATGAAGAATCTTGTGCGGCATTACATCTACCCGAACTTAGAGCAGAACCTAGAACCTGTAAGTGGTATTTGGCATCTTGCAATTCGATATTGCAGGCGCAGTGGTATTAGAATCTAATCAATACTGACATCTATTAAAGGTTGACGAGAGCAGCCCACTCGAGACTATGATCGAGACCAGCATTCGCGAACGCATTGTGGACACGTATGCCAAGCTCGATCCGGAAGACCTGATGTTTTACTTCGAGAACTTGTTCAACTACCCTCGGAAGAGGCTGGTAATGGATGTCAATTTGAAGCACCCCGCATTCTCCCAGGACCAGGAATCGTTTGTAGCAGCGATCCAGTCCGCGACAGACGAGCGGCCGTGGCTTTTCGACATTGCTGATTTGACCAGCATTGGAGGCATCGTTACCTCTGATGACGACTTGGACGAACATCTTGTTCGTGACGGCAGCCACGATGGCTCGATTCCTCCTCCGGGAGCGTTCCGGCGGCCGAGAGGGATCTGGGCGCCACCAGGAGATGATGGTCGAGCTCTCGCCGAGCGAAGTCATTCCTATGGAGGGCAACGTTACTAAGCATGCTGAGTTTCCGGGTGGAGGCAAAATGGGCCGGGCCAATGTCCCATGATGGTCTGTCTCAATTGAGAGTGAGATAAAAGCTAGTCAGGGTAATGCAGATCCTAATAGAGTCACTGTCAATGGCCTCGTATCATCTTCGTCGGGTTGATGTCGCGTCTTTCGCGCATGAGACATAAGTGTTTTGAGCAATGCCGCCTTCTCCCGCCAATCTATACTACCTAGGCAGTGTATTATCATTATTTATCAGTAACACTATCGCAAATTCCACCACTTGCACTGTAGTTCGTTAGTATCTTCAATGCTATGATGGCAAGAAGTGCAGTAACAGACTGAACTTGCCTTATTCGGGAATCTAGCAATGGGTGGATTGCGGACTTGATCTCTTAGCTAGTGCAAGGCTGCGACCTACAGGGGCGTAAGTGTGGCGGGTGCACCCTGCAAGGCGGCGAGCTTGTGGCCAGCTCCCGCCTTGTCAGTGGCCCAAGCCTCTCCCATCCTCACTCACACCCGGCCACTCACTTAATAGCCGTCCTACACGACGGCATTGTCTCCCATCAGCGCAGCGCATTGTCTTTGCGCAGCTGGAACCCTGCTCTTAATATCTCTTTTCCCTCGAATTCTTCTCTTACACCAGATATACCATCATCATCTGCAGGCGCTGCGCCTGTAATCAGACTTGCGACAGACCGACCTACCTTACTACAGCTGGCGGCCTTATCCGAACTCATTGTTGAGCTCATCTCGGGCAGCAGCCAAAGTTGAACCGTCGTTCTCACAAAGGTCAGTTACTATTTCACAAAGTGCTTTTTTTATGTATGGCAGTCAAGCGACAGTCTGACCAGTCTCGTGTCTCATTATCGAGCGAGCTGGCTGAGATGGCGCATCTTGAGTGTTTCTCTTAATGCCGTTTGCCTTTCATCAAGACCGAGCAACAAAGAAGCTTCATTTGATCTTTCCCAGTTCTCATTTTCATGCCGAGAGGTGTTTTTGATGCTATCACTTATTCAAGTGATGCGCTTACGAAAGAACAAATCATAAAAGATACACTTTGTCTTTCACTTGGCCTGCCTTGCTGTTCCTCAACGTTCGGCACCTAGACGAATCCTGACTATATAACTGACCTAGCATTAGAAAATCGCCTGCTTCTGGGCAATCTAGATCGTTTCTTCCTGCGTGGTTGAAGATCGATCAGCCTTCGGAAACAGGGCAGAGCATTCAGTCAGACCTGCTCATCTTTCTGAGACATAGGACTGCCTTCCGTCCTAGCTCGAACCATCCCGGCTATCAGTACCTTGGAAAGTCTCTGTTGGTCAGACACGACGATCTCGCTCTGCTGCCCGAAGTATCAAACACTGTCATCGTCCCGTATCACTCACGATAAGCATCATCCGCGTTTTGGGGCGTGTCGACACAGCCGGTTTCTGACCATGGAAGGCGGCGACCCGGACGTCGTCATGGGCGGGGATGATAAGCCTTCAAATGAGACCACGACTACCAATGGAATTCCAGTGCCTGCTGATGGGATACAAAAAGACGAGAATACCACATCGCCCGACGACGAGGATGAGGAGGACGAAGAGGACTACGAAGAAATTCTAAATGATGACTCGATTCGCAGACGAGGACTACTACCCACGGCATGTTGCTACGATGACCGCATGAAGCTTCACGTCAACGCCGACTTTGGGACTACGCCTCATCACCCGGAAGACCCTCGCCGAATAGAGGAAATTTTCAAAGCATTCAAGAGGAATGGCTTAGTTTTCAATGGCCCGGAAAGCAAAATCACGGAGGTGATGCGTCACAACCCGTCGAAATACATGTGGAGGATTGGCGCTCGAGAAGCAACTAAGGAAGAAATTCTTACCACACACACTCCGCTGCACTATCACTGGGTCGAGAGCCTATCGAAGATGGACTACCCCACGCTACGAGAAACGAGTCGGCAATATGATCAAGGCCGTGCCTCGCTTTACGTGGGCAGTCTGACATTCACGGCAGCCCTTCTCTCCTGCGGCGGCGCCATCGACACCTGCAAGCATGTCGTCGAGGGCAACGTCAAGAATGCCTTTGCTGTCATCAGACCCCCGGGTCATCATGCAGAGTACGACCAACCCCTCGGCTTCTGCTTCTTCAACAACGTGCCCGTCGCCGTCAAGATCTGCCAGCAAGAATATCCAGAGGCCTGCAGAAAGGTACTGATTTTGGACTGGGACGTTCATCACGGCAATGGCATTCAGAATATTTTCTACGACGACCCGAATGTTTTGTACATCTCCCTCCATGTCTACCAAAACGGACAGTTCTACCCTGGCCCGCCAGAGAATGCGGAAATACCGGATGGAGGTCTCGAGCACTGCGGTACAGGGCCTGGACTGGGAAAGAATATCAACATTGGATGGCACGATCAGGGCATGGGGGATGGCGAGTACATCGCCGCCTTCCAAAAGATCATCATGCCTATCGCCAAGGAGTTCAATCCCGACCTGGTTGTCATATCCGCAGGATTCGATGCTGCCGACGGAGACGAGCTCGGTGGATGCTTCGTGAGCCCTGCTTGCTACTCACACATGACCCACATGCTCATGTCCTTGGCAGAAGGCAAGGTCGTCGTGTGTCTGGAGGGTGGCTACAACCTGCAAGCCATCTCAACGTCAGCGGTATCAGTTGCTCGTACGCTGATGGGAGAACCGCCACCGAAGATGAATCTGCCATCTCTGAACAAGGACGCGGCCAGGGTCCTCGCCAAGGTGCAGAGCTACCACGCGCCGTACTGGGAATGCATGAGACCTGGCATTATCCCGATGCCGGATATTCAAGATCTGCATGTTACAAGACTCAACGACCACATCAGGCTCGGCCAAAGGCAAGCACTGTCACAACGCCATCAGATGATTCCTCTTTTCATACAAAGAGATATGCTCTTCAAATCCTACGAGAATCAGGTCCTCGTAACTCCAGATATTCCGTCCGCACGGCGTATTCTCATCATCTTTCATGATCCGCCGGAGGTGTTGGCTCAACCTGATGTGGTTGACCGCCACGTGGAGGCACATAATGCCTGGGTAGTTGATAGCGTCGAACAGTACATCGATTGGGCTGTTGGCCAAGGCATTGCAGTCATGGATGTCAACGTCCCGAACAAGGTTCTACGAGACGAAGATATGGAACCTTACACCCAGCAGACAGGAGAGATTGAGCTCCTGGGCGAACTTCAGGAGCTGGCGAACTACCTATGGGACAACTACATCCAGCTCTACGAGGAGGCCGACGACATTCTTCTTCTTGGTGTAGGTCGGTCGTATAGTGGAGTTAGGGCGCTTCTGACTGGACGAGGTATGTCTTTTCACCATACAGCAGTAACGTGCTCTTCCCCCGCTGATCATTTCACGGTAGACTGCAAAGCCAAAATTGCTGGAGTCGCCTGCTTCATCAAGGGAATGTTGCGACCCGTCAAGTCTGACGTCGACACCGAGCTTGCACCCTGGTATAAGGATCACTCCCAGATCTACGTCGAGCATGATCACGCGTGCTGGTCTCGTGCAGACACAAAGCACAGAGTAAGTAAGCGCCGCTTCGGCACAGTGATTCGGAGTCCGGAGAACGGTACCCAGAAGATGGCGCAGGCCCATGCCAAGGAGGTCCAGAGTTGGATGCTGGATATGCTCGCGGCTCGGCAGAATGGTGATACTACGGAGGATGACAAGATGGCTTGACATGCGCCGGTTTAGTGAGCCTGCTTCAAAGTTGGGATGAGATATCGGGGGGAGGCGCGTGCAGTGCAGCATATATACAACTGGGTACTGAAGCCTACGCGGTTGGCGTTGAGGACGGAGATATGTTCCAGGTCCGCAGCACGCTGGTTACGGGAGAGCGGAGGATTTTGAGAGAGAAGAGACACTTTTGGTACCGAGGAATCTTCGAGCGCGGGATGGGTGTCAGCGACGTACCTTAGGCATTTGGCGAGAGAATTCTGTTGATACACCACCACAATGCCAACCATGTTGCGCCGAAGTCGACTGAGCCACCATAATGCTCTATACTCTGTGTAGGGGAATGAGGGAGCATCTGTCACCAAAAGGACGGCGGGGGTCAAGAGACGAGTCACGGGCTTCCTCTCCAACAGTGGATCACAGCATCCACACAATAACCCGCCTTGCTAGCTCAATCGGTAGAGCGTGAGACTCTTAATCTCAAGGTTGCGGGTTCGACCCCCGCGTGAGGCTCAAATCCTCACCGCGATTGGCAAAGCCATTCTACGGGTTAATCTTTTGCTTTTTGAACTTTTGATGATATGTTTTGCACTAGGTTTTGGCACATGTAGGTGAGAGGAAGGCATACAGCAGCAAGTGGCCTGACTTTCCTATTTTTCAGTATCCCAGTGTAAAAGATACTTAGTTAGTGGACCCTTCCTTTGAAATCCTGTTACCGCAACATTTTCCGTGGTCTTTCAAGACTCGCCTAGTCGTGCAGGCGTCTACAATTTTTCTGGCAAATCACTTTAGATCCCAGCCCATCGTCAATTCTCTCGGCTTTGATTGGTCCCAGCCGAAAGGTCAACTTGTGGACCAGCACTGACGTTCGATAGTACGCTCTGGTTGGCTCAACAGCCGACGTACACTTATCTTATCGGTATCCGGACAACCGCGTCTGAGCGCGCTTCACAGCTGTCTCTCAGCCTCCGTTTTGTGGGTACCCTCTGGTTTTCAGGGGGGCCGGATCCCAATCCTCGGACGCTTTTTGCTGCTTGCATCCTTAGGAACCCTGCTGCTCCATCCAAGGACGATTGACGTCTGGCGTTGGCGCGCATTCTAGCTGACCCATCAACCTTCCCAATCCAACAACCTATCGCGCGCGCGCGCAAAGCAAAGATCTACGACCCCCCATCGTCAGGAGGTTTTTGTTACGAGCGTTGTCTTCGGCCGATCTGCAGGCTACACGACACGAACAGATATGGATCGCGATCGGAGAAGCAGGTAAGTGGTGTTAGCTGTTGGCAGCTCATGTTGTCTTTCCCACCAGTTCATCCCGGGCTCATCGAGGACCTGCCTGATCGAGTTTGGCATATTCCACGATTACTTCATACCGGAGTATCGCTCTCGGGAACTGCAACCCCGCGGCACCGATGATCAGTGTATCGCTTGCTTTCCAGCTCGGTACCTGTCACGGCCCCTTCTCGGACCGCGGACCTGTACGGCGATCACACCTCTTCGCAGGCTAGCAGAGAGCGATGTCCCTTTTGCACTGAATCACCATTGCCCAGCCTTCCGACTGCGTCGAGCCATTCTCAATGGAACCAACTGACGAAACATACTAGGTACGAGGACGGCGAGGTCACTAGGTATGGCGCTGGCGAGTCCTGGAGACCCTTCCCTAGAGGTGGAGGTGGCGGCGGCGACCGCTCCCCTCGACGAGCCCGAAGCCCACTGAGAGACCGCGAACGAGACCGAGATAGAGATCGTGACCGGGACCGCGATCGCGACCGTGATCGTGACAGAGACAGAGACCGGCCAAGATCTCGCGACCGCGACAGAGACCGAGACCGAGATACCAGAGACACCAGAGATCGCCCGAGATCAAGAGACCGCGACAGAGACCGCGCCCGCACGCCGCCATTGACCTCGGATAGCTATGTCCCCGGAAGGTCTCCTGCGCGCCGCCGCTCGCGCAGTGCTGAGCGTTACCGACGTGACCGGTCCCGTGATAGAGACCCGCGCCCTCAGAGCGACACATGGCGCAGACGAGACAGGACTCGAAGCCCTCCCCCGGTGAGACGGCCCTCGCCGAGACGTAGCCCGTCAAGGCGCCGCAGTCCCATTGGAAGATCTCCAGCCATCCGAGATGAGAGAAGCGATCGAGCCAGATCGCCGCCGCGCCGCGACAACAGAGACAGAGAGCGTGAGAGGGACAGAGACAGGGACTTTGATCGGCGGGACGACAGGTACCGTTCGTTGCCCCCCTTTGCGCAGACTACGGTCTCATTACCTTTTAGACGCCGGTCGCGTTCGCCATACGGCCGCGACAGAGGTCCTAGGGATAGAAGTCCACCCCGGCGGTCGCCTGCGCCGGCATCTCGTGGCAACTACCGTCCACGGTCTCGTAGTACGAGCCGCCGCGGCGGTGGGGGCGAGAGATACGTAGGATCCTCTTACAGACGGGCCTCGCCGCCCCGAGATTCTGGCATCTCGTCAGCGATCACGTCTCGATCAGCTTCAGGCAAGTCGTCACCGCATCCTCCTCCTTCCACCCGAGCACGTTCGCGGCCGCAATCGAGGGAGCGTGGGGAGCGTGTCGAGCGAGTCGAGCGGGAGCAGCAGCGAGAGCGAGAGCGGGAACCTACACCGCTTCAGACCGGTGCTTCTGCTGCATCATCGTCCTCCACGATGACGACGACGATTCGCGAAGCACCCAAGCCTGCCGCAAACGCCACCGCAAACGCCGCCGTTTCCGCCGCCTCCGCGATCGCCGCCCCCCAAGAGCCGGCCCCGCCGGCCGCAAAGACACCACCTCGAGGCCCCGCCGCTTTACGTGCTCCTCCAACCGGCCCTGCCGCGACCCGAAACTTCACTGCGCCCGCCAGCTCACCAGCTGTCCAGCCACCTAGACACCCGCCGACCCCGAGCGTGCCACCCTCGCGCGCAGACGCCGTTAGCCCGACAATCCCACCGGCCGGCCCCCGAGGCTACGTAGCTCCGGCCAGGGGCGGCGGATACAGCGCCCGCGGTGGACGAGGCTCGTGGTCTGGTCCATCCCCTCGACAGGCCCCCGCCCCCACGACATCCCCCTCTGCCATTGGCAACGGACCTTCCAGCATCCCAACCGGTCCACGCGCCAACCCCTCCAACACAACACCTTTGAGCACATCGTCAGCACCCAAAGCCTTCAACCCCCCTACCGGCCCCTCCTCGCAGCACGGCGGCCCCGGAAACGTCCGCCTGACGCTCGCGCAGAGCATGCTTGCGACCTTGCCGCCCATCATCCCCGGCGGCAAGATCGACCCTTCCTTGCTCCCGACGACGACGGGCATCACGAGGGACATTGAGCCGCACTACAAGAAACTCAAGGCGGAGGAGGAAAAGGCCCGCGCAGAGCTGGACGCGAAGCAGGATAAGTTGCGGCAGAGCCTCCAGATGTGGGACAAGCTCGAGATGGAGTCCAAGGCGTGGAAGACGAGGGTAGACGTGAGCGAGCAGAGCTTGAAGAGCTTGGCTGGTGAAGGCATGGGCGGTGCCGCGTTCTAGGTGGGAGCAAGCACCGTCACGTGGTAGAGTACATTGAGAGGGATGTAGAAGGAAAGGCACGGGGCTTCTGTGTTGCGATTTTGGTGGGATCGGAGACGGGGGAAAGGGTTTATTGACTCTTGTTTTCTTTTTTTTTCTCTCCCCCTTTTACAGCGGCGACGAAGATGTACTACTACTACTACTACTACTACTACTACTACTACTACTACAATTATCTGTTAGTCGGAGAGGCACATACCCTTGCCTCCCCCCTTTCTTGCTTTTGCTCCATTACGTGTAGGAAAATACAAGAAATCAAGTGGGCGTCTGAGTACGTGCTCTCTGTGCCCCGAGTTGCGAGGAGGAAAGTTGACGCGCGGCGTATTGGGCACCTCCGAGGTCAACGAAGAAGAAGTGAGCCTGCATTGGCAAGCCAATTTTTTTTCTCCATTTTTTCCCATTGAGCAACTGGTTACTGCTTCTTCTTCTGTGCTGCATAGTATAGAAGAAGCCATGATCTGAGGTACCTCATAACAAGGTAAGGTAGGCCACCTGTGATGACCCCAAATTGCCTCTTCCATAGCCTTCAACCTAGCCCGTCATTTCATATCCATAATCCATACCCGTTTCCGTAAACCCATGCTGGCCAACCAAGCGAGTTCCAGTCAAGCCCTTCCCTATGTTCCGAAGCCAAACCATAGTCTATCTCGTCGTCTCGTCTTCCATGGTATCGAGCTATGGACTCGTGTGTGTAGAAGACGGCCAAGTTGTAACATTACACAATATCTGAGGGAAATTGCATCGTCCTCAGTGCTTCTCTGAGAAAGCCAAAAAAAAAAAAAAAAAAGGTCATGCGAGTACCTCTCGCTGACAAGGAAAGGGAAACGAAGAAACAATCAATCCTACGCGTAGTCCATATCGCTATCCCATTCGTCATCGACCTCAAAGTCGCGTTCGTCGTTCAGGAAGTCATCCATGCTGTACTGATGCTCTCGAGGCTTTTGGTTGTCGATGTGGATATCGACAACGTTGCACATGCCTTGTACAAATGTGTCTGCCGCTGCTTCTTCAGAGGCTTCGTCGGTCTCGCCCTTATTGGATTCTTCTCCGGGTTCTTCCATATCGACATCGTTTTCAGAGTCAAATTCGTCGCTGTCAGGCTCCGCGTACGACTTGGGCTGCAGCTGCTGGCCACGAAGCCCTCTCGACGTGCTGCTAGCGCGAGAAGAGGTACCCGAAGCATGGGACACAACTCGTTTGCTCCGCCGGGATGGCTCTGCGGCAGGTTTCTTGGACTTCCGCTTCCCAACGACCAGGGGAGATGACTCGACGGGCAACGGTTTCTGCAGGGTGAAGTGTGGTTTTGGATCGGGGCTTTGTCGAAGGAAGATCTTTTCAAACTTCTCCTGCCACGACTTTCGGAGTTCCACGCGTGATCGCCAAGAAATGCTGAGCATTGCCTTGATGGAGATGTGTCTGAGATCCGGTAGCTCTTTAGCGCTATCAATCAATGATTGAAGAAAGGCCTCAGCAACCGCAGTATCAGCTGCGCCGGAACTCCAGTGACGAAGATTCTCCAGATGAACCACTTGCAACGATGCTGGCCAGCTAGGAACCTCATTCGGCAGCAATAGCGTATCGTAGGAGGGAAGTCGATCGTTACTCGATTCCAATAAGCTGAAGTACTGTAGATTCATGCGCAGCTCCTTAAGGTGCGGACACGCAGTTCCCAGCACCGTAAGGAAGGACAGGTTCAGTGAACGGTTGTGATTCAACACAAGCGACTGCAACTGATGTCCTTTCGTGACCAGAAACAAGCTGAAATCGTCGGCAATGACTTCCGCGCAGTTCACTAGCTCTAGGCGTCTCAGCCTTGCTGGGAGCAGGGGAAATAGTGAGGTAGTAATGATTGTCGACGATTCGAAGACCAGATCGTCGAGATTAGGAAGAGCAAGAATAGAGTTCGCAAGCAGGCTCACAGACTTCTGATCTTCGGCAAGCAATTCGGGATTAGTCTCGGGATCTTTGTCCAGTCTGATGGACGGCATCTGGTAGTTCACGAACTTGAGTTTCCGTAAAGAGACGAAGCTCGGCATCTGGTGAACTTCTTGAAGTCTCGCAAGGCTCGCATCCCAGTTCTTGTCCATCAGCCTGGAGCTCCACTGCCAGCTTTGGAGCCGTGTTATTGCAGTCTTTTCCCCAGCCTCAGCAGCGGCAGTAGGAGACACCTCAAATGCCTCAAAGAGCTCGTCAGGGTAAGTCCACTTGATGGATTCCTTCAGCTTTCGGAAAGGGGCCTGGTCAAATCCATGCACGAGTAGGACCTCTTTGAGACGTGGCAAGTTCTGCATCAGCTTCAGTGGCGATGTCAGGCCTCGTAAAGACACCAGTCTGACGTCGATGTGGAGGGCCTCGATTTTCGCTCTATAGTTGAATGTAGTCTGCGATGGCGGCTTCTCGAGCAATTCCACAAGCCCATATGCTTTGGTCTCGTCCCGTACTGGTGGGCATTTGTAGAGAACGGTCAATGCCGGATCAGCGAACTGCCTGCACGTCCTGGCCGTATGGAGGATCCAGTTGACGTCTAATGTATCCTGCTCATCGCCTGAAATCGCCGCGAATTGAAATATCTGAACCCAGATTGAATGCGCAATTTGAGGGTCGAGCCAATTTGGAATGATAGGGCTTGCAGTCTTCATGTCGATATCCACCTTATTTTTCGGGGGCCTCCCTCGTGGCTTAGCCGGAGTGGTCTTTGGGGTAGGTTTGGCATCTGAGAGTTCGTCTTCGAACCCATTATCTTCGGATTCGTCCGAGGAGTCGTGCTTGGCTTTCCGCGGTGAAGCCTCCACTTTGCGAGGCCGACCTCGACCTCTCTTAGGGGCAGAGTCTCGCGCAGTGGTGGTCGACTTGCGTTTGGCGCCGGCCCGGCTAACCCCTCTTCCATCGCTAGCCTTGGTAGGCGTCTTTCGGGGACTCTTGCGTGAGGTGCGTGGTGATTCTTCAAAATCTTCGGATTCGTCCGCAATGGAGTCTTCCTCATCAGAGCTTTCCATGCCAACATATGACTGAATGTGGGAGCGAGTCGAGGATCGAGTTTTAGATCGGAGACCATCGGTGAGCTTATTCGGGGACGTTTGGGCTCCAGCCTTGGTAACTCGCATTCGATCTTTGGCAGTAGATTGGGAACCTGTAGCGTTTGCTGAGTCGCGACGAGGCCTCGAGGCTGTGGTTTGCCGCTTAGACGCCATGGTGCAGTAGTGGTGTGCCCTGCATCGATAGGAGTCGCATCTTAGGGAATGTTCCAATAGAGGCTGTCTTGGAGTTGGTCACTAACCTGTGCTCAAACTATCCGTAGAGCCGTCCGGTGATGTAACCAGTCAGAAGATTGTCGAGTTGCACACCAAACTTAGCGCATGCTGATTGAAGCTGTCAAGTGATGACGTTTGCGACAGTTATGCGCCAGCGGCCGGAAGTCCGTTATTAACAAGTACGACGGCACGCCGCAGAAGCGATTCACTCATGCAACATGCAATAGGAGATGGAGGAAGAATTCAGTGCGCAAAACGACACACTTGTGTAGAAGGAAAGTGTAAGGTAATGTATTTGGAGAGACTCGTGGAGGAAGGTTCACACCTTTGCAAGTGAGTTGGAGTTGGTGTTGGTGGGGCAGGTGCGCGCAACAGTCACCTCACTGAACCACCGACGGGGAAGAGCTGTCAGCCTTGCACTAGCGTCTTGGGACACCTCAAGGCTGCCGTGGGCTGCAGTAGACGCTTGTCAATGACCCCCGCAAACACATGGCCTGTGCACCTGAAGAGAAAGGAAAGATGAGGAAAAAAAAGGAGCAGGCAAGTCCTCGATCTCTCCAACTTTGAGAGTGAGTTTGCTCGCAGTTTGGCAGCATCAGGTTTCCCAAGCGTAACAGCATCGACACAAAGAATGCTAAAGTGCGGAATGACCGGAATTTGGATAGGAGCAAGTAGATCCTGGCCGGCGAGGCAAAGATTGGCCGTCGTTTGCTTTGCGCCGAGTTGCCTTGCGGATGGCAGCTCTAGCTCTGGAGGAAAACATCATGTCATGTTCAAGTGCAAGTTGGCCTGAAGGAAACAGAAATATTTGTTCGAGAAATTCGAGACAGGGTTCCATACTCGGGAAAGCAGGACCAACTTGATTTGGGTGTCGGGGCGAGCATCTGCGCAGTCGGGTGCTTTCCGCTTCGCCTGGAGAGAAAGGACCCACTAGCAGAGCATATTGACCAATCATGAACATGTTTTGCTGGCATCTGTAGCCAGAAGCCTAAAGCCAACCAGAGCAGGCACTAAGCACAGTAGAAGACACCTACAAGTACATCGAGCAAGTGCTGTGGTGGCCCCTTGCCCAGGGCAGTTAGTTTCACGGGTAGTTAGGGGGCATGAGAGCCTGGCAACAATGGCCAGTGACAAACACGTTTGCTGAAAGCCCCCCCGGTCCACCTCCAAAATTCAATTGCTCCGGGGGTGGATTGCCGTCCACGTTTTTTGAGCCATCGACAACGACGCGCTTCCACTCCCGCTCTATCACAGCCTGTTCCTGTTATTGTCATCGCCCAGCGCCACCACTCTTGACCGTCAGGAACGCGCCGCCTTTCTTCAGCCAAAGCTAGAACATGGTTTTCTAGTCTTGCAGTCCGTCATATTTTAGGCTCGATTTTCTCTTTTTTGTCCAAGCAGCCTACCGCCCGGGCTTCTTTTCCTTTTTCCTTGACCAAGACCCGAGTCGCAGTCGCGGTCGCGTCTCGTTCCTTGGGTCCCACTCATTGTCTCGGCCCTCCTGTCGCATTGCTCACGAGTCACCACGACACCTCTTTGGCTCAGGTCTGGCACAAAAATTCTAGACTTGACTTGCGCCTTATCCGGATTGTGCAGCCCGCCACTCTGCATTTTCTGCTTCAAGACGTCAGAAAGGAGACAACGGTGAGGCGCAACCTCACTGCCCCTTTCTCGTGAGACTCGGCCTCTCACTCACAGGCCTTCAATGAG